CGTAAAATTTGCAGAAGTATGTGATAGTGTGAGTATGCCCTGTGTGTGTGTGTGTTTATGTGTTTGTGCGTGTCGTGTGTGTGTGTGTGTGTGTGTGTGTGTGTGTGTGTGCATGCGTGCGTGTCTTTTTTCCTTTTTTTTATTTGTTTTTATGTTTTTTTTTTATTTAAATACACATTAAAAAAAAAAAAAATGTTGTTGTAGGGGGCTGACGCCTGCCCAGTGCCGAAGGGAAATACATACATTTTATTCTGTTCTATTTTCAATAGAAAAAAGCTATGTTACCAGTTGTCCAATGGCAGGACATCCTGGCCGGACAGTCAGGGGGGTCCTGGACGTCCGGCCCCGGACAACTCCATTTTTAGCAATAAAATGCACGAAAAAAATAAAAGAAGAAGTTGTTCAGTTTATGTTTTTGCATAACATAGTTTTTTTTTCATATTTTTTTGAGGACTTTTTTTTTTTTTTTTTTTTGTCGTTTGGGCTCGGACAGTCTACCAAGGGAGGATGTCCGACGTTTGGGCTCGGACAGTCTACCAAGGGAGGATGTCCGACCGGTTGTCCGAGCGGACAACCTCGGATGCTCAGGGGGGTCCCGGACGTCCGATCAGGTAACCTAGGAAAAAAGTATGTTGTTATTTGATGCTACTATTCATGGTTTTTTTTTTTTTTTTTTTTTTTTTTTTTTTTTTTGAAATGAACAACATTTATAAAAGTTGGGAACCAGGCCCAGCGTCCCTCACATAATTAGGTGGGGCCCTCGGCGGCCAAAGCATCACCGGCCAAGCACATCGAGGGTACCAATAGATTTCACCCTGCAGCTTTTAGTCTGTTCATCAAGCCGTACTATGTCTACCCAAACTGCATCTACAACCCTATATTTTTTATTTGATTTTCTGTTTTTGTTTTAGCCCTTACAAAATCTCTATGAAACTACAAAAAAAAAACTCATTTCATTTTTTGTTTTTGTTTTTTTCATTGTGTTTATGTTTTTGATTTTCAAAAAATATACTCGAAGTTCAAAAAATAAAAATAAAAATGTGGGGTTGTAAAGCTCAAAAAGATCTACAACCCCATATATATATATATATATATTGTCACATGATATCAGAGTGCCAAAGCAAAAAACAGAAAGAAAAAAAGAAAAACAGGACAAAATGAATTCAGTTTTTTATCTTCTTCCTTATAACTGCCCCTGTTCAGAACCTCTTGTGTACAAGGCCGCCCACGTGGATGTAGGTTGAGCAGCGGCTGTGCCCCCACCCCCGTGTGTCATATCGACCCACTTGCACACAGCCAAAAGGCAAAGAGGCAAAGAAGAGAGGAAGGGAACAGCCAAATAATACAGA